TATGCCTTTACAATTATAACATTCAATATAACACATAACTTCCAGTCAAATTCTGCTTGGTACATTCTTAAAACATGCACTAAGTTCTTAAAGAGAAAATATATATAACAATAATAAATAAAATACTTATTTTATTCCAATTCAGCTCTATCATTAATGTTAGTTTTAATCTTTGACATCTTTAACATTTCTTTTCAATAGGATATCATACTCCTAGGAACACTTATAATATTTCCATAATTTTTCATGTTTCTTTCATATTCCTCTTCACTTAAATTTTTATAACACATTTATAATAATTAAAATGTTCCCCTCCTTTCCTAATTTCATTCTCTCATTCTCTTTATTTCATTTATTTATTAAACATTCCACTACATTACAATGAGTATTTTATCTATCATTTTAATCACACTTGTTTCATATTTTCAAAGTTCATTTCTATTTCTAATATAACAATACTATCTTATGTACCCTTGCAGAATCCCCCTTTCAATTAAGTTTTCACCCATTATCTCTGTATCTTGTACGTTTTCCCTGTTCCTCTATGTCCTGTTTCTGTCCTTTATAATTTCTTTTCCTTTCCTTCTTCCCCCTCTCCTTCTCCCTTCCCCTTTTGACCCCTTCTCTAATTCTGATTCTCTCTTCTGTAATCCTCCCTTGTTTCTTCCTAATGTTGTAATTGCTTTTCAAACTATTCTTTTTTTGAGTTGTTTTTTTTCAGATCTTAAATTTTTCACTCTCTTTCCCCACTTTCCTTTCTTTTCCCCACATAAAAATACTTGGTCATTGAAGATGGCTTCTTCTTTGTCCCGCCCTTCTTGTTCTACAGGCATTTCTTCTTGTTTCTCATAGTTCAGGATCTCCATTTCTAAAAATTGAAATACAAAGCCAAAAGAACCTCTTCCTTCTTATGCATCTTCTTTCTGTTTTTTTAAGTTCCATTCTCAATTCTTCCAAGAGTGATACCATTTTAAAAACTTTTAAACAACCACCCGATTAATTTTAGTCCTTTAAATCCAATAGCCGAAAATCCAAAAATCACCAAGTAATCCAAATAATCCAAAGCTGTTTCTTCTTGCTTCTTTTTTCCACTTTCTCTTCCTGGGGTTCTCTTATCTTGTTACAAAATTTCAGTTAAATATATCTTTTAGGAATCTTGTTAAAGTTTCACTATTAATTCCTTTCACTTCCAGGTGGTCTCCTCCATTTTTCCAGATCCCGCCCTTTTGTTTTTTTTCCTTCTTTTAAAATTTTTTGAGAATCTAGAAATCTTTATTATCCCTTTGACATTTTATTTTCAGCTTAAATACCTGTTAATCTCAAAGTGGATTTTTGCTGGTTTCTTGCTTAAATCTCTTAGTTGTCAATATAGGGAAGAAAAGAAAAAAAACCCAAATCCTTTCCCTTCCCTCTCTCATTCGCTTCTTCAAAGTCTTCTTTGGGAACAATGTTGTTCTTCATAATTCAAATTCCAGGGTACCTTGTATTGTTTTTCCAGTTCAACCTGGTCAGCCAAAACTTTCTCTTCTTATCTTTCTCCTGCACATTCTTTTCCAGTCGAATTATTCTTTGAGGTGGCCATTTCTGACCACCGCTGCAACCGCCTTCGGGAAAGGGAGCAAGGCCAGCTGGGGAGGAGAGATGCGATTCTCCTCGACCCTGCTGGCAGTCTCCCCCCTCTTCACCACCTCTACGGGGTGGCTTGGCCCCAAAACGAGCCAGCTCGGGGCGCTCCAGTGGTGAGCACAGATCGAAACTGCGCACGATCGCAGATTTCGGTCTGTCGCCAAAGAAGCTCAAACTGGAAGTTTCATTTTGAGTTTCTTTTTTAAAACCTTAAGTATTTTGTAAATATTTCTGTGAAGAAAGAGTGAGAAGAGATAATTATCACTGATCTTTCCCTCCCTGTGCTATCTAGCATTGATTTGAGAGAGCTTGCAAAAATGTCTCATCAGGGTAGGTGGATATTTCTCAGAGGGATGAATGAAGTGTACTCTTCTTGTGGATTCACCAAGGCATGAAATTCATCTCATCTGCCCTGTAAAGTAGGCAGGGACCTGTACTGGGCAGCAAAAATATTAAAAGATGGTAGAGATGGATGGCCATTTTAATGAAAATGACAAGGGCATCATTTCAGATTACACAGAAGGCAGTAGTAAACCACTCCTGTATTTTATATAGATAACCACACTGACAGATAAGATAAAGTAACTGATAGTATAGTGATAATATAGTGCTGTATAATGGGCTCCTCAAAATCTAATTTGGTGTAATGATTTAGGCATCAGCCTAGAAACTGGGAAGGCCACGAGTTCTTGTCCTGCTTTAGGTACAAAGCCAGCTTGGTGACCTAGATCAGGGGTCACCAACCTTTTGGACCTCAGGGACCACCAAACTCATAATTTTAAACCCCGCGGACCAGAGACCCTGGGAAAAATCCCCCCAAAAAGTCTGCAGGAAAATTCCCCACCCCGTTTTCCTACCGACCAATCATTCTTTATTTGGGATCGCAGGATACCGTCTCCAGCTCCATTCGGGGGGGGGGGGGGGAGAGAGAGAGATGGCTTCATGCAAGGAAAGCAGCAAAAGCAGCAGAAGCCTTTCTTTCTCTCCCCCAAACTCCCCCAGAAATGAGTCTTTGTGCAGCATCTTGGAGCAGGATGCCTTGCAGGGTCCCAAAGACTCATTTCTGGTAGAGTTTGGGGGAGAGAAAGAAAGACTTTTGCTGCTTTCCTTGCATGCAGCCAAAAGAGAAGAAAGAAGCAGAAAGAAGCAGCCTGGTGGCCAGGCCAGGCACGTGGGGCAGGTTCCCCCCTCCACCCTTTTCCCCCTCCCCACACTACCTCGTGTTGTCCTCAATGCAAGCAATGCAAGCCTTGTGTTTCCGCAGGCCATGTGGGCGGCGCAGCCTTGTGTTACCATGCAGTCTGGATTAATAGCTTTAGGGGGTGCTTTGGGGGTGACACTTCTCTGTGGACCACCAAAATTTTCTTGCAGTCCACTGACCTAGATGACTTACCAATTTCTACAATCCAAATATTTCTTCATAACTATAAGGAAGATAATCTTCATAAATAAAACCTCAAAAATACAACAATGCCTATATTTATGGACGTCATCAGATAGATCATGCAGACATCAAGTTGACTATCTACTACTGATACAAAGTGGAGAAGCTCAGTTATAAAAGCAAAGATGGATGAAAAAGCAGGGGATGACTATGGAACATAGATCATGAACTGCCCATGTGCAAATTCCACATCAAGGTTAAGCAGAACAATGAAGTGCTTCCACAATTTGGTATTAAGCATATACCCATCAATTTTAAAGAGAACATGAAAAATAATTTTGAAATCCTGAAACTCACTGATAGGGAACTAGAGAAACTTGAGGAATGTATTAAAGAAGATTTAAGGATGACTGTGAAAAGAAAGAAAAAAAAAAACCAAGATGTCAGAACAGGTAGTGGAAATTGTCAAAAAGAGGAGACAAGCCGAAGCAAGTAAGAAAAAAAAAAAGCAGAAAGGAACACCCATGCTCCCATGGAAGATTGGTGGTTGGACCAGGAGGGACCATCACCATTCCTCCAGATATCTTTCTGGACCCTTTTGTGGCATTCAGTATCATAAGCTACAGTGCCTTTCTATATGGGTCACTGTTCTTGCTAAGAGTTGGAGTTGGATGCATTGTATTATGGTGGAACTTGAATTAGTAGAACCACTTAATGGATGCATAGGAGAAAGGTTGGATGGGGACTCTGTTAAGTGCATCAGGGATGGCCATTCATCCCCTTATCGCCTCTTAGTTGGATCACTGCATTTCAATTTACCTGGGGTCACCCTTGAAGAACATGCAGAGGTATCAGCTGGTACAAAATATAGCAGCCTGGGGCTTCACCAGGTAGTCACAGAAATGAGATGTTAAATCCACTAAATCCACGAAGGGAACTTTGCCAGATAGCCATGCCTAGCCAATCCTGACAACCAGGAGATGTCCCCTTCTTATTAGGTGATGTGTGGGGAAGTGCCACGGTGGCAGAGTTCACTGAGACAGCTCTGCTTCCTTAAAACAGATTGTCTCCAATGTGAGGATGGCTCCTACTCTCAAGACTTTACAAAAACTTACGAAAACTTGGCCATTTGTGAGTCTTTAGAAATCAATTGATATGTACCCATCAGCACTGGCATTGATTTTAACAACGCTGATGGAATTGTTTCAGTTTTAGTATTTGTTGCTGTCTCATGTCTGCTTGGGTGGAACAATAGATAAATAGCAGAAATAAAATAAAACCATCCAAATAACTAAGATATTAATCTCTGGCAGTCTTTATGGTAGGAACCAGAATACAATGGAGTATATTTTGTTTCAATCAGTCAAAAATTTGGTAGGAACCAAACATAAATCATATGGCTATAATTGTGTGCAAATTTAATAATGTCAAGCTTTTGTTAAGTTAATCAAAGCACACTGTGAAATGCATTGTTTTAATAAGTTTGCATTGTTTTAATAAGTTTAATAAGTTTTGTTCTCCCATGAATTCTCTATATACAATGCCTTTTTATTAGTGTTGGTTTTTTAATCTCTTTCAAATTTATTATTCTTTTTTTTTATCTACTTGGAAATCTGTAAAATGGAAAATGTATTTAGCCTCCATTTCCTTCAAATAAAAAGAAGGAACAATCCTCATTTCATAAATTGCACTCTAAGGTAAATTGAATATTTATGTAGATACATAGATCTCCTTGAAGTTATCCTATGCTTAATCATCTCTACAGCAGCTCTTAAAGCAACTCCAAATGTTTAAATTTTCATAAGTAGACAAATACAATATAATAAGCAGGTCTAGCCACATACTATTTTTTCTCTTTGCTAATGTGATGAAATTCACAAATTCATATTCAGAAACTGGGTGGCAAATCCCACCCACTTCTAGCAACTTAAACTAAATGAGTTACATGAGATATAGAACATAAAGCTTAGAAAAGAAGACAGGACACCGGCATCTTATAGCTAACCATATTTTAGTTGGCAGGAAAAAAAACCTGAAGAATGTTAATTTTTCTGCCATTTAAATTACATTTTTGCACATGGGTAATGATTTTCCTTGTTCAAAGTATGGGTGGCTTGCTCATGTAATGTACTCCTCTCTGGTATCATGGCGCAACGCACCATGGATAGATAAAAAATCGATAAAATGTACTGTAGATAAATAAAAATTAGATTCCAAAAATCAATGAGAAAAATATAATCAACTGGATTATGTTCACTAAGAAGCCATGGCTGGCGAGAGTTGTTAGCGCAAGCTTTCTTCATATCTTCACATTCACTCTGACACGTATTGCTAAATGAGCCCTGAAGCGACCAAATTAAATCATTTTTTTTCTACTGAAAAATCAGAAGTATCAATTTTAGAAATCTCTGTGGCTATGTGCATTAAATTCATATTATGTTAGAGGAAGATGTTCTTTCACTATTGTTTCTGATCACATCTTCTTCTAATATTCCAAGCCGATCACAATACTCTACAACTTTTGCCTCAGCAATACATCTATGTCATTAGACTTCTGTGTAAGAGTAAAGACCCAATTATGTGTTAAACAATGTATGATGGAATAGAGAACAAAACCAAAAGCTGATGAAGCTTTTTCTTCTTCTGAAGGAACAGGAGGGGTTTTTTTTCTTATCAATTAGTCTCATTATCTTAAAGCATTTTAATTAACTGTACAGGAGTCAACACAGCCTGCTCATTTTCAGGAGAGAGAGAAAAAGATGCAGTAAGAATTAAAACTAGTTTGTAATTCTCTAGACTCATTAACAGAGCACAAAAGTAATTAGCTATGTCTTGATTTGGAAAAAATTTCTTATTTCTCCCAGCTACTAAAGCCAAGCAGATTAGGTCAGTTGAGAGGCTAAATATCTTCTTTAGAATCACATTTGTTTTTCATAGGATAATTTCAATCAAACCTAATGGAGTAGTGGTTATTTAGCATCTTTTTTTTAAAATCTGAGGCTGGAGTGTAGGGGCTATGACCAATTGAAATATGATTTGAAAAAAGTATTTCAGACCTCCTGTGAACACAGCACCTTTCTATTATTCCTTAAAATAGGCTGGTTTTTTTTACAAGCTTGTTTGTGATCCTGAAGAGAAAAAGAGAGAGAGACGCTTTAAGGAATCTTCCTCATTAAAGTTAATGTGACAATATCTTTTGTGGGCTGTTCCAGAAAATAGCAGAGAGGGCTCTTTATTCACCTAAGATCTAAAATACTTCTGGCAAAATATTTTTCAAGATCTACATAGTCCTAATAAATTTACCTTAAAGGAAAGAGAATCAGTTTTGAAAGCGTTTTCCAAATTTTCCTCAGTAAAATTTGGCCTCATGCACCTGGAAATTTTGCCCATGGGAGTTTCTCTCAGGGTGAAACTTGAGGTTGGAGGTGAGCAGAAATCATAACACGAGAAATTAAGTCCATATGAAGAGGAACAGACTTTGCATTTCTGGGCCAAATAATTCCAGGGGAGTATTATCTTTGTCTCTGAATAGGGTTTTATATCTCAGCTCAGAAATTATGCACAATGTGGGGCTCCTCCAAAACTCATAGCTCCTGCAAGTGGTAGCTGTGCCAGATGGGTTTCCGCACATTTATGTCCCTGCCTGAATTTCAGTACAGTTAAGGCCTATTTTTCCACCTAATCTGGGAGAAAAACATACTTTGCATCTTACAAATTTACAGGTCTATCCGTTTTATGCTTTGCATGGGGGAGACCATTCTGTCTATTTGACTGCCTATTTGACCACTTCGATGCAGCTCTGGTCATCTCTTAAAAAGGGAAGCATGAATTCACCAGAGAAAGAATGAGAGGAGTTATGTGGTAATGAGGGTGGCATGTCCACCATCTTGCTAAGTGCACAATTCTATAATGGCCTTCTCCAATTTGTACAGAACTAAAAGTATGAGAGTGTTCAGAGGAGAATAAACCAAATATTATAGCCGTACTGAATACCTTTTAGCTGGGACCTGGCCAGAGTTATTTTTCAAACAAAACACCCTCCTAGTCTGTACTCCAACTCCACAGGTTGCCTTGTTGTTCCAATTGATAGTAGTATTCACAGTTGTTAGCAGGGCATTTTCTGAACAGAGACTCCATGCAGAGGTTCCCCAGTATAGCTGATTGCAAGAATGCTCATTACACAGTCGATACTCCTGGAGTGATGAAGGAGGAGGACAATGCTTTCCACCTGTGAGTGATAAGAACAGTATAAACTGTAGCAATGGTTTCAAAAATAATGCCACTGTTCAAGAAGACACCCTGCCTGCAGTAAACAAAGTTCCAAAACCGAGTAGTGTGTTTTAGCAATCAATCAAACAAAAAGAGGAATCTTTAAATGTGTTATACATATTGTAAAACAGGTGTTTTCAAAGTTTTTAAGGATCTAGGTCAGGGCTGTCAAACTTGCAGCCCGCAGGCCGGATGCGTCATGTGCTGGCCACACCCACGCCCAGTTTAGCAAAGGTGGGGGGAAAGTCCCGATACATCACATGATGCCACCATGACGATGCAAGTTTGATGCCCCTGCTCTAGGTCTTGTTAGGTTTAAGGGAAAAAAATACTGGAAACCTTGATCAAGAGAGAAAACACTAGTATGGGTAGTCCTCGACTTACAACAGTTCATTTAGTGGCTGTTGAAAGCTACAATGGCATTAAAAAAAAAGATTTATGACCGTTTTTCATACAACCGTTGCAGCATCCCCATGATCAAAGTTCAGACACTTGGCAACTGACTCACGTTTATGAAGGTTGCAGTGTCCTGGGGTCATGTGATCCTTCCCTTCTTCTGACAAGCAAAGTCAATGGGGAAGCCACATTCACTTAACAACCATGTACTAACTTAAATAACCGCAACTGTGGCAAGAAAGGGTGTAAAATGAGGCAAAATTCACTTAACAACTATCTCACTTAGTAAAAGAAATTTTTGGCTCAATTGTGGTCATACGTTGAGGACAACCTGTAATAGAGAACTGGCACAAAACGAAAAGCAATCTGCCTATTGTAAATGTAAAATTAATATTTTCAAAGTACACAAATTTGAACTTGAATTTTACAATTATTTGGAAGGTTAAGGTTTTCACCAACAAATCAACATCCAACGAGTGGGCTATGCTCCTTTTCCTTGGATAAAAACTCAGTTTTTAGAACAATTGATACTACTTTTTTTTATTGCATGCATAAGCGCACAATTGTGCCTATCATCCCTGTCCTATTGTCCCCTATTATTAGTTCCTATTTCTTGTATTTAAACTTATGTTTGTTCTTGTTTCTGTTGTATTGTAAGCTTTTAACAAATAAATGAATAAAATAAAATAATAAATAAATAAAACAAACAAATAAATAAATAAAATATTTGCAAGTAAGATATTTTCTCTCTTTAGCCTACAGTCATATGAAAAAGTTAGTACATCCCATGTTATCTTTTTTTTTTTTTAATGTTTGTACATTTTGTAGAAGTGACAGGTTCCATCCTAGGGATGAAATCAAACAGGAATCAGCCTAGAATCACTATGTAGCCATAATGGACTAAATCCAACCCCTCTTAAACTCTATTAATCTTTATGAGCCATGGTGGTGCAGTGGTTAGAGTGCAGAACTGCACGCTACTTCTGCTGCCTGCCAGCTGTCTGCAATTTGGCAGTTTGAATCTCACCAGGCTCAAAGTTGACTCAGCCTTTCATCCTTCTGAGGTGGGTAAATGAGGACCCAGATTGTTGGGGGCAATAGGATGACTCTGTAAATCGCTTAGAGAGGGCTATAAAGCACTGTGAATATAAGTCTAAGTGCTATTGCTATTTATCTAGTGTCAAAATAGTGGATAGATTCCTATGCAAAGGATAGATTCCTGTGCATAGGCATGCAATAATAAATCAGTTTAATTGGAACTTCATGTGTGGTCCTGGTCTTTCATGCCTGATACATTTCAATATTTTATCTTCATTCATACAGCATATAAACAGGTGAACAAACATTGAACAAAAATATGAAAATTGGCAATTATTTATTCAACAAAAAGTTAACAGATATGCCATTTCCTTCTGTGCAAAAAAAATAAATGTACCCTTGAATCAAATATCTGGTATTGACTCCTTTGGCAGAAATAACCTCAAACAGGCATTTTTTGTATCTGTCTCTGACATCAACTGAGAACATTTTCCCCATTGTTCCATACAGATTTTTTTCCAGCCCTGTAATGTTTGGGAAATTTTGCATGTATAGCCATTTCAAATCACCCCATAGCATCTCAATAAGATTTGAAAATGAAGTTTGATTTGGCCATTCTAGAACCTTGTATGTCCTTTCATTTTTTTCCCCACAGCTATTCCTTGATGGATTTACTGGAATGATTAGAGTGATTCTCATGTTCTACTTTCAGTTGAACTTCAATCATCTGACAGACAATCTCATGTTTGATCTGCTGTTGTACATGGCAAATGCCTATCTGGCAATTTCAGGACTTTGTTTTAAATCTCTATCTGGAAATTCACAATTCTACCCAAGGAAATATTGCTTGTCATGTGAAATCAGTCAAAAGGTCTGTAAATTGTTCCTTCTCCCTGGATGGCAATTCAGTTGCAACTCAGTGGGACTTCATTCTTAAGTATATTTGCACAGGATGCCTTCTTGATGGTTAAATAGACCTCTTGGGGGACAGGCAAGTATGTCCGCCCATGAAAAGCAAAGAGAGACGGATGGACTCACAATCTGTCTGTGCTGCTACACAGGTTAGAAATTCCTGGGGGGATTTCTAGTTCTTTCTGCTTTTAACTCTCCCAGCTACCGTTTAGAAAACATGGGCACCAGGGGAAATGTTTGTGGGGATTTGGGAAGAGAGGTAAAGGTGTGTGTGTGTGTGTGTGTGTGTGTGTGTGTGTGTGTGTGTACGTAGGGAAAAACAAAATCAGGTAGGGGTAAGGAAAGAGTAGCCAGTCATCTTCTGCATTGATTGCTTGCAAATGCTACTTACGTGCAAGCAGTGGCAGAGGAATAGAATGGAGTTGGGACCAGATGTGAAGGACAAGTGCATGTCCATTTTTTAGTCCAGTGTTTTGAGGTTTCTGGCCTTCCCTGCCCTTAGTCCTTCCTGGGTCTCATTCAAGTTAGCCAGTTTAACAAAAACAGTTTTAGAGCATAGTTAGGAGTCTACAAGCTTTTGTCGTTATTGAATATTCATAGCATTCTTTGCTGCACCTTTATGCCTAAGGGAAGTATAGAGTGCTTTTAATAAAAAAAAATGGAGCCAACCAGAGACAATTTTGATAGCAGTAGAGGTTATTGATTGATATTGCCTTCCACAGTTGATAATTCTCTTTCCAAAACATCAAACATTTTTTTAAAAAAAAGATAAGGAGGAAATTGCAGAAGCACATCACTTCCTAAGGCTGAAGTAGTGCAATATCTATTAAAACATTTGATGTAACATACTGTCTAAACCAAGATTGTGGGCCGCTGATTGCTATAAAATGAAACTATTCTTAAACAGCAATATTCTACTCCAGATAATAATCAAATAATTGAATCATAATTTATTGCTGTAAAAATAGCTATAAAATAAGACTGAAGGGAAAATAAAGCTCAGAAATGAAACCATCATCGTTATCATTACACTTCAGGAAAATATGAAAATATTTCTTTTTTTAAAAAAAAATATTTCCCTTTTATGCAGGGAAATATGACAAACTAAATGAAGATGCAGGTTGTGTCTAAAAATTGGTTTGGGCTAAGGAAAGCTGATGCTTAAAACTCACATAGGTGAATCTGAAGGATCACAATAGCAAAACAAGAGAAGGTGCATGTATTTCTTAATCCAGAGTGGAGGTCAACATAACCCAAACACACCTCTTCCATTTCAGGGAAGGAACATTACCGTGTACATCCAAGAGTCATCTCCAGGGATGATTTGCCATGCTCTTCTGTCTTCCTAGAGCTGGGAGGGAATCACCATGGTGTAAATTACAGTGCTCCACATCTTGCCCTTAAAACACCACTGGAACAGGACCATGCTATGTTGTAGTTTGTACAGGTCCTTCATGTGGCACTGGAAAGTCAACAATTGGCATTTCCCCCCCTTTATTTTAAAGGTGCCAATCTCCAGGTATGTGCTAGAGTGGTATCTGAACCCCTCTCACTCTGTAAAGTCAGAGCATTCAATCCCTCCCTTCCCTCCCTCCCTTTTCTAAAGGAATGTCAGCCTATCAATTGAAAACTACTAGACAGAAGGAAGGAGATCATCACTCATCCAGGTAGTGGTCACCTGGAGATGAGAAAACCAGATGCAGTTGCTGAATAAGTGTTTATGGATTAGGAATTCCAAAAAAGGACTTGGGTGTGTGAGAAAGCTATATGTTTGTTGTTGTTTTAATTTATCTCTCACATATATTTACTTACTATCTCCCCAACTGACTACTTGATGGAGAAAACAGAGTTTTTTTCTCATTTACTGGACATTTGAATTTCTGCAGTTAAGGGGCAGCTGCTGGAGAAGTGCTGCTGGACAGCTCTAGGTTGAGGCCAGGGTGGAGGCAGGTTACATTCTTGTTGTTAGTTGTGAAGTTGTATCCGACCCATTGTGACCCTATGGAAAAAGTTCCTCCAGGCCTTCCTGTCCTCTACCATCTTCTGGAGTCCACTTAAGCTCACGCCTACTGCTTTAGTGACTCCATCCAGCCACCTCTTTTTCTGTCGTCCCCTTTTTCTATTGCCCTCAATCTTTCCCAGCATTAAGCTCTTCTCTAGTGAGAAGAGTCTAATGCTCTGCATTCTAGGATAGAACAAATGACTTCAAAGAATATTTCACGAGAAGAAGTGAGCAGTTAAAGTGTAAAGAGTGAAAGGATGACCTTGATGGAGACAGGGAAGATCCATTATAAGGCAACTAGGAGAAAAAGGCCAGATGAAGGGGAAGGGCTAAGAAGTATCTCAGATACCACCTACCCAAATTAATGTGTAGAGAGAAGAGGAGAAGGACATTTAAACTTACAAGATTCTTTAACAATCATCAAAGTTAATAAAAGTAGTTTTAGGCACACTTGGTGTCTGTTTCTTTATCTGGTCTACTTCTTATCGTCTACCTCTTATGGGCTGACTCAGAGCTTCCCCCAAAGGAACAGCACCTGGAAAGGGAATTCACAGCCACATAAAAGACAAAAGGAGAGTTAAATGTGTATTAAGTCAGGGATGGTCTAGTCA